CCGACCATGCTTTTATGCTAAAAAATCTGTAAAAGATGAGAAAGAGAAGTAACAAAATCTTTGTTTTATGTTTAAATTCGAAGGATTTCCCGCTAAATCTTCATGACTTACCTTTAGTTTTTGTGTTTGTTGTGTAGTGACAAGGGAACTTATGTGGTCAGAGAGGAGGAGTCACCTAAAGGGCTTCGGAAAGAGCTGATGCCGCGACACGTGGCGGTGATAATGGACGGAAACCGGAGATGGGCCAAACAAGCCGGATTGCTGACGTCACAAGGCCACGAGGCCGGAGCTAAACGGCTTATAGAGTTTGCTGAGCTCTGCTTCGAACTAGGGATAGATACTGTCTCAGCTTTTGCTTTCTCCACTGAGAATTGGGGAAGAGGCAAGGTGTGACAAATTTCATACACATTATTTTAACTACCCTTAGCTAATATATTTCAACATTAATGTCATCAACAACTTGATCATTACTCAGATTGAAGTCAAATTCTTGATGTCTTTGTTCCAACTATACCTCAAGTCAAAGATCCAATTTTTCCAGAGGTATATATATATAGCCATGAGTGAGCTTATTTTTAACATAGTAGAACTTCTCATAAGAATCTTGTTTGTTTCAGCAAGGAAATTCGAGTTTCCGTTATCGGGAATCTTGCGAATATCCCGGAATCTCTCCTCGGAATAATCAAACATACTGAGGAAGCTACAAAGTGCTACAAGAAGAAGCATCTCATCTTGGCGATTGACTATAGCGGGAGATTCGATATCTTGAGCGCTTGCAAGAGCATCGTGAAGAAATCGGAGCAAGGTTTGATCCGAGAGGAAGACGTGGACGAGACAATGTTCGAGAGAGAGCTTCTGACTAAGTGCACCGAGCTCCCAAGTCCTGATCTCTTGATTAGGACTAGTGGAGAACAGAGGATAAGTAACTTCTTCTTATGGCAGCTCGCTTATACCGAGCTCTTCTTCTCGCCGGTCCTTTGGCCTGATTTCGATAAAGAGAAGTTTCTCGAGGCCCTGGTTTCGTATCAGAAAAGGGAAAGACGATTTGGATGCCGGGTTTGATCCACATTTGACC